CAGTCTGTGCAGTTTGAAAAAGTCTGCAAAGATTGAATGGATTTCAGCCTCAGGCTTTTTGACTGTCTATGCTTAGCCCAGAAGCCTGGTACTGTAGTAAAAGGATGGGATACCCAATGTCCACATTTTGGTGAATAAAGATATGTTTGGTTAATAAATAAGGAACAAGTTTAATATTTAAAGAGCTATAGAAGCTTGTGGGTTGTCGCTGCCTCTACTGAAACTGTTTTTGCTACATTTAAACTAAACATAATCAGTTTAGAAAGTAGTCTATACAGACCAGCCCCATACCTGAGTTAATTAAGACTTGGAAGTCCCCTTTCTCATTTATTTTTATACTATAAAATATTTTTTCTACTCATGGGCAAGTTCCTGTGTATAGTTTTTTATTTATTTATTTTTAGTAAATTGATGAGGAACAAGTGGTCTGTCTGTTTCCCAGATAAAACTTCATGATGGAGGAATGTAGACACTGGTGCACTTGTGTCACCTGGTAATGTAGTTCTTCTCTGTTTTACAGAATATGACTCGGAAACAAAAAGGGTCCAAGACATTCTTTCTGGAATGGAGAAGCCACAGGTAGGTGATCCACATTTATGGAAAAAAAATAACTTAGATGACAAGTGCCTTTTTTCTAGTCTGGTGGTGGAGTAAGGGGAGTGTTTTGGAATCATATTATGCTAGTGTGTTGACAGGGTATTTTTATCAGAAAACATTGTTATTGGATGCAGTTGCACATGCTTCATTAGAGGGCGCCTTTACACACATGCTTTAATGCACGTTAGCTTATTTTAATGTGCATTAACACATCACCAAAAAAAAAAGTGTTCTTAATTAATGTGCATTAAAATAGGCTAATGTGCCTTTTTCTATGGAGGTACTAAATTTAATGAGTATTACCCAAGGTGCATTAATAAACATGTAGATGTGCCCACAGCATCCTTACTGAGGCAAACCCGCTACTGCATGCAATAGCCATTATTTTCAGGTGTCTTTGCAAGCTGTTGTAGAATCTAATTAGAAACTGTTTCCAGAGCACTTTGAAATTCTTGGACAAATGTTTTAATTTTGATAATTTCATTGCCTTGTTTCATTGTTACAACGATGAAAGTATTTAATTCTAAGCATGTAGTATTTAGTTTCATAATATTGTATTTATTATTTATATTTAATATATTTAATGCATTCCTTTAATATCACTTCTTTCTTCACCTTTAAAGCGTTAATCTGAAAAATGAATAGAATGATAGAAGCCACTACTTTAGCAAGAACAGGTCTAATTTGGTTTTTAATAACACCTTACAAATGTGGGAAACATGCTTTGGTTGCAGTGAAGACTCAGTCCTTTAGAACAGATGCACCAGTGTAGATGCTGTGCTTCTGTGAAGTTAGGTACTCAACACACTTCAGAAGCTGCACTAATCAATGCCTTTGCAAGACTAGTCCATTAGTAATAACAGAATATATAAGGAGTCCTAAGTCCTTGCTGCCTTGATGTTTTTAGTGATTTATACAGGATTTTTTCCCTGTGAGCAACAGCTGTGTCCAGAACGTGATTGACTTGCTGTTCTTTGGCAAACTCCTCGCCATTGTACTATTGCAATTAATGAGCCATTAGTGGGTATGGAAGAGCAGTGGATAGTTCTGCAGAAGAAAATTGGTCTACTGTTGTAATGGATGTGGAATTGCAGTATAATGTAGGAATAATGAGATATAATAACTTCATGAAGACCACATTTATTAACTTTCTAGTGAAGTGATTACATATTGTAAGTTTTGTCTGTATGGATGTTTCACTATAGCTTAAAAGATAACTAAAGTGACTCTCTACTTTGAGGGTCCTTGCATCTCTCTTTGAGACTCCCTTGTCCCTAAGGGAGATGTAAGCCTCATTTTGCCAGATTGAGAGTCCAGACAGCAAAAGTTAAAATAATTAAATAGTTAAAAGCCTCTTCTCAGAAGGGGTACACTTTTTATCAGCTAGACAGCTTGACACAGCAGTTTAGTGAAGTGACTCTAGGGAGATGGGTCTTTTCTGAGATATAGGAATTAGGGAAAGGCAGGCGTGCATATAAACTGGTGTATTGTCTGCAAGAACTGTTATCTCCTAAGTGCTTAGTTCTAAATTAATAAAACTCTACCTTAAGAAGGCTGTTTAGTAATGGGGAACTTCATGGCCTGAGGCTAAATCAGACTTGCTGGGGCAAATTAATATCAGGGAGACAGTAGCACAAAGCAAGGGAATTGCATCTCTCTACCTAGAGACAGGTGACAGTTTGAGGCTTGAGGCATAAGAGGGGGTGTACTCTGAGAGACCAGAATGGGATCAGAGATGCAGTTAGCCTAGCAACTATGACAACCGCACCGTGTAAAGTAATGAAGCAGGAGGTTAGATGACAGGCGCGTCTACACGTTGCCCTACGGTGATGTAGCAACACACTGCGTTGCCGTATGCCATGCTACAGCAACATAGCAATCATGTGGGTCTACACATGATAGCCAGCTACATTGCCGTAATGGCGTGTTCCTCCAATATAGCGAAATCTAACTGTGCCACGCATGTGGGACAGTAGCTGCTTGTGCTGTGGTGTGCTGTGCTGTGCTTTAGTACTTCCAAAAGGAAGTACTGCAGCATGGTGCCGTAGCAACAGCACTGTACGGCGATGCGCAGATGCACCCACGTTGTAGCATTCCCAGGGAATGATTATGTGTTCAATTAGTACAAATAGACTGAACTGTTAGGCTCGTATCATGTTGTATTACGTTTGAAGTTGTCATGTTAGGCCAAATGAAAATGTAGTGAATATCTTTTTTTTAAAATAAAATTTATCACGTGTTTTGAAGGATTGCCTCACCTGTTCGATAGTCCATTGCTGGTGAGGCTATTGCCAAGATTCCAAACCTTTGACTAGCCTCAAATGGCACCGGTTTTAAAAGAAACTTTTCTGATATAAATCTTTCCTCTCTTCCCCTTGCAAATGCGAGTATGTTAGTGGAAGAGAGGGGATTCCACAATTACACTAACTTGGTCTCCAGCGTTGACAGTATTGGTATTTAGAAGACTACAAGATAACAAACAATAAAGCTAGTTATACCTTTCAAAATGTTTAACTTAAGAATCTTAAGATCTCTGTTCTGAAAACTGTAAAAATATTCTATGTTGAGAAGAGCCAGTGGAGGTCAATTTTAGAATTGTCTATGGTTTCCTCTGAGCCCTGTATAATTGCATGCATGGTAACTAAGGTACTTATATTTACAGGCAAAAGGATGCAAAGAATATTAATACCAATTTAAAGTTCTCTGAAACAGTCCAAATATATTTGTATAGCTGTTTGGTAATGCACGTAGAACACTCGGATTATATAGTGAGGCACAGTGGTGTACAAAAAAGGTACTTCACTGTAATTTTAACATACATAAGTAATACAGCTGTCCCAGATTCAGGCAAATAATACCTTGTTGTGAGCCCTCAACATTTAATGTGTGTGTATCTGTTTGCATACACATAATTGTTAGAGAATGTGTTGTTTAATTGCCAGTACTTCATAGAAACAGTAGACCAGCAAAACACAAAGAAAAGAGGAAGAAAAATAAAAGTGTTAAAAGAAATATAGTATTCATAACGGCAATGAGGAAACAGTGAATTAGTTGAGAGCAGTTTTAAGGTTATGTCTGTATTATATTCTGCAATATAATAGCAGTATATATACTGAAATTAGTTCTACTCTAGCTAGTCTGGGAAACAAAAGCAGTGAAGTTGTCAGACTTCAGCATAGGCGAGTGGCCACAGTCCTGGATGTGTTTGTACAGTCCATGCTAAAATCCATATTTCAGTATTCACTGTATTGCTGCTGAACCTAACTAGCGCATACATATGTGCTTGGTAGTCATGCCACCCTTTCAGTACTAGTGTATATACCAAAAATTACATTTTGAAGTATCTAATGTTGTTGTTTGTTTTAGGGAACTTCAGGGGGAAATGTTCATATCAGATTTTCTCTCTTATACAACAACAGTTTAAGACACTGATGCTTCTGTGTCTTAAAACACACAAGGTTATTTGTTTAAATTTAAATCCTGGTGAGTTTTTAGTGGTCGAGGTTACAAACCAAGTGCTTATTCTCAGAACCAGTCAACTTCATAAGAGAAGAGCGGCTGGAAGATAGCCTTCAAAAAAACTGCTAGTGCCACGCTTCAATTGCACTGCAATGAAACAGCAGGTGCTTCCTCAGCCTGATGAAGGGTGTTTATACTCAAAAGCTCACAAAGAAGAATTTTTCCAACTATATGCGTTTGTCTAATAAAAGATAGCAGATTTACCCAAAGGACCTTGTCTGCCTGTGTCCTCAGACCAACATGGCTACAACCGATACCCCAGGGGCTATTGAAACACTCAAATAGGCACTGAAGCCTTTCCACTACTGTTGATGACACCAGAAATGATCCACATGTGTGTTGGGTCTGAGTTCAAATGAAGGCTGCTTTTATTCCAGTAATGATCCTGTTCTTGCTGGCTCAGGCAAAGCTGGTGTGGAAATGTTTGGCATTTTTGACTGATTTAGCAGTTATGAGGTTTGAAAGAGAGAATTTGACCTAGCAAAAGCCTTGAAGTCATTTGACCCACAAGTTTTTCAAACATTGCCCTCTAGGGCAGTGGCTCTCAACCTTTTTTGCTCCAGGACCCAATTGTAAATATCAGTGGCCAGTCCCGACCCAGTGCCCCTCACT